ACTCGTGACTGGTGAGCCAGTACGCAGCGCTTTCTGTTAAAGGGTCCCATCTCCACCACACCTACTCCTCCCAAGGCCCTCAGGCAACAAGTCCCAGCACATCCCCTGACTAGCCCAGACATGCTGGAGCCTTGCTGAAAGCAGCCAGACCACTCCCCACACCTTTTAAACAGTTTCTATACTGAACCCAATTAATTAAACTTGTTTCGGAAGTAACTATACTTTTGGAAAGGGCTTGTGCAGGTTCATAATTGCCAAGAGCATGTAGGAGGGGGATCTGTGCTGGGAGTGATGTGTGGAGGGTTTGCCAAAGTTTTGTCAGTGAATCATAGATCAGTTCCAGTTTAAGTCATTTGGTTTCAGTTTACCTGATAAATATAGGAACTGTTTGTAACTCCAAGGGTTTTGTGTTTGGGAAATTCAGGAGCAGCCTTGCATTAGAAGAGGAAAAAATTATATCCAGTCCCTTTTCCATCAGATTTGCTTTGTCTTGCTGAGTATTTCCTTTCTCTAAAATTGATCGGTGGCCCTGCTATCCCTCTGGGTGCTTGTGCTGATGGCATGGCATGCTGCTGCTCCACACCAGGCTCAGGTTTGCCTTAAATATTTGAGCAGAGGCATTGCTGGCTGCAGTGGGTGTGTTGCTTCATTCTCACAGTTGTTTTGCTGCTCTGTGTCTACCTGACTGCCTTTCCATCCTGATTTTTGTTCTAAGGCTACCATTCAGCCTGTGGTTTATGGCTTCTCTTGGTGCTCTTTCGGCTCAGTAAAATGTGGTTCTCTGAGTGTTTCTGACCCGGCTTTGTGCTTACTCCTGTCCTTGCTTTAAGACTGAGCCACAGAGAATATTTAGCTTTTGTGCCTTCCCTCTCCAGGTAAAGGCTGATGAAGGAGCTGTTTGTGCTCTTTTCAGCACCTGGTATATATTTTTTCCTGCGATATATCTGTGCTATGGCACATAACCAGTGTTTTCTTCTCTGCTTCTACTTGCAGCACCCTGACAATCCTTTGACCAGCTAATAGGTTTATGTTGTGGGTTTTGGAATGATTCATCCATGTGGATTGGCAGCCTTGCTGCTCTCTAGGAACAGGCTGGGTTCATTGAAGGAGGTGATTTCATGAGTACCTTAGGTTGGAGCCTGTACAAACAGTTGGAGCTGAGATCTGAGTCTGAAATCATGTGTATTCAGTGTTTTATTTGGTTTTAGACTTTCACAACAGTGCCCTAGGTGTTCCCTCCTGCAGTATCTCTCCCTGAAGCTTCTTAGATTATAAGACTCAGGATATTTTTGTCTTTTGAGGGGTTTTCATTTGTGTGCAGTAAATGGGTAAAGAAAATTTTTGTGGCCACATTTTTGTAAAGGGAACTGAGTTTTGAAAGTTAATTCAGTGTCAGTGCACTATCCTAGATGAAAATAGTCAAATTACTGTAGTGACATTAAAATACAATTGAAATTAAAAAAAACAAACCAAAACCATAACAAAACATTATCTCAGAAATACTTTTCACTTTTAAAATTAAAAGCAGTTATAGAACTTGGTTTAGACACTTTTTTCCCCTCTATTTTTCTCAGCTTTCATGACATTCCCAGGAGATTTGAGTTCTGGTAGTGACTCTTGTAGCCAAGGTGCTCCCTGCCTTTAGGCTAGCAGTTTCCTCCTTTCTAGTTTGGGGTTTGTTGGTTTGGGTTTTTTTCTTGCAGTTTGGAGAAAGTATATAAAGTCAGTCCTTTCAGCTATCTTTTCTTAGAGGTGCACAGTACCCAGCAGAGGGGTGACTGCATCTTTTACAATTGTATTGTCATTACACGAGAGCCTTTTGGTCTGGTTCTCACCTCTCTGTGTCTGCCCTACAATTTCCTTGTGGTCACATTCTAACATTTGAGTGGACATCTAGAGTGGATTTAAGTTCAGGATCACTGTTCCAAATGCATTGCTGTTTTCTAAAAATGATTCACAATGAAATAAAAATGGGTTCCCTTTTTCTAATCATGAATAAGCTGCAGATTGTTACTGTTCCCAGAGAAATAAATGGTGGTTATCTGTGCTGAGGAGCAGAAATGATTCATTTCGTTTCTGTGTGAAATGATGTTTAGAACTTTTAGCTCTAATTCAAAAATAAACACCATCACTACTAGCAAAAAATGGATACTGAAATGACTGGCTGTCCCCATTAGCAGAACTCAAATGCACAACAGTTTGAATTCAATTAAAAACAAGAAATAAGCCCGTGGCATGATGCTTTCCTTGTTTATTTACAAATCATTAAAAGATGATTAGCTCATCTTTTCAACTCCTTTTGTACTCAAGACTCCTTTTTTAAGGAGGACTGGGGTTTCTTGTGCTGGTTACTCTAGCTCCACTGGGATGTTTTAGTTCCTGAGGGATGGCAACACGTCTAGGGTTGAGCTCTTCTCCCTGGGCTGTGAGACCCTGAGCTCACAGGAGAGCTGAGAGGCCAAGCAGGACATGACCCTCCTGCAAATTTCCTTGCAGGTGTGTCCTTCCTTGTGTCCAGCTGTTGAGGCTCTAACAAAAGTCCTTTGTGGCATGTACAATGCACAGCAGGGAACAACTCTTTTCTCCCATTTCTTTCTTTAGTTGCAAATGTTTCTAGGAATGTGCAGGGGCTGTTTGTGCCCTGAGGTCAACTCCCTTGGTATGTACTGAGCAACAGACCTAGCTGTAGTGATACCATATAGAGTACTGGCCAGTGTACACTCAGGCTGTGTGCTCTAGCCAAGGCTAAGTGGGAAAGCTGGAAGCTTTCATACCTATTGCCAGCTGTGCAGCTCAGGAGAATGTATCTGATGAATCAGGGAAGAGCCTTTAATCGTGTTCTTAAATTCCATTGAAGAATTTATTATAAAGTCTGCACTTAAAACCTGTGCAGGAGTTGATAAGAACCTGATTTTATTTTAACTCCGTCTGCAAATGCTTTAGGTATAAATAAACCTTGCAGTCGTCTTACTGGTTTTATGTGTGAATCAGAATAGATGGATGCAGGATAAATCTTTGCAGGTAGATCTTGCAGAATCAGGATTGATTCTCCTTTGTCCTTTATGGATTTTGTTCCTTCTGAAGTCCTGTGCCTCTGAGGTTTGAAGTGGCACCGTTTTGTACCTAGTCTGCTTCGAGTGAACAAGCTCAGGAAGGGACAAATCAGCTGTGGTCTGGAGAGCTCAGAAAACCTGACCCCAGTCCAAATTTCACTTCAGACAGGAAAGTGAGTCAGGGTTAACAAGAGTTTGCAAAGGGCCAGCCAGGTCTTGTGTTTCTTCATCCACTACCCACCTCCTTCTGCTACTGGTGTCCCTGTGTGTGTTCATAGACACATACAGAGTTTCCAGCAGCAGAGTGATTTTGGCCTCACTTCTCTGCACTCTGCATTTGACAATTCTGTGCTTAAGCAGATCGTCTGAACAAAACATTTTGCAGCTTGAACTTCACAACTCAGTGTGGAGCATGAGCAGTTAGGTTATTTGCCATAAACCCAACTGTTTTCAGTGCTCAGTGTGCCTGGATTCCCCAGAAAGGGTTTTTCTAGTTATTGAATAGGAACAGACCAATTACTGAATGTGAACTGTCACTTCAGGGGGCTCAGAAGTCCCTGTGTTAATGTGACATACCAGTGGCACACCTGAAATCACGTGTTTTATTTCCTTTAGCACGACTTTGTCCGCCGAGACCGACCACCCAGGGTACTCATAGACCTCATCCAGAGGACCAAGGATGCAGTACGAGAGTTGGATAACCTGCAGTACCGGAAAATGAAGAAAATCCTGTTCCAGGAGACCCGGAATGGTCCTCTGACCGAGTCTCAAGAGGAGGAGGAGGTACTTTTATTGTGTTACCCCATTTGCACTGTTATGAGTAATTTTAGGGCGAGTTTGATGTTCCTGCCCTTAGGGTGGCAGAATGAGTACAGTCTAGGTGAGGAATATTGTTGGAATATCATCTGGATGAGCAGAGCAACAGGATAGGATAATGAATGATACTTAACTCAGTGTTAAAGCTGCCAGTAAATGCACATCTAAAACTTAGGATTTTTTCCAATGGTTGCCTTGCTGCTGGAAGCTTTAGGGAAGAAACTCATTTGCGGGGAGGTTCTCTGTGAGAAGTGGCTACCAGCCTGTGTGAAGGGAGGGTCTGTTGACAGCTCAGTCATCAGCACAGTCAAGACCACTAGATTAACATTAATATTTTTTCAATTACCATAACTTCGCTGTAAAGTAATTGGCCTGTCATGAGCTGAAAAGCAAATCAGCAAATTAGTAAGACTTATTTTTCAAAATTCTTCAGTGTTAAAGAAGAAGAAGGTTAGACATGAAACTCAGCTTCAGTTTAAATCTTGTAATAAACAACGCACTTAATCAGTGTATGATAATTGACCCTAACAGTGGCTGAGAGAAGGAAACCAGTCATTTTTTCAATGTATGAACTTAGATGGAAATGAATATCACTTGGTGCAGGCACATTGGATATATAAATCCATGACTGGTCCTCAATGAAAAACATTGACAGGCAAATTGATGTCTGTATTCCTTCTGCTGCAGTGTAGTGAGGTGACACAATACATAGAGAGGTCCCCAAGCTCAGCATATCTTCAGGGACTTGGTTTTGAGGTTTGTGTGTGACAAATGTTGCTCTAAAGCTAAAGTAGAGCTCTGGTTTAAGAAAGGGGTGAGCCTGGGTGTTAGGTAGGAGAGCTTCAGGAGGAGACTGGCACTTAGTGCTCTCCTTCCCTGTGATGGAGCTGCACAAGAAGGCCAAGAACAGCAACTGCTGTGATTAAAGCTGTGAAGTGTTTCTGTTTTAACCCTCCTACCAACCAGTTTCAGACCTTGAGCTTAGCTGGGGTGTGGGGAATTGTCAGACTTCTGCACTGGAGTCTCCAAGTTTTCTCTCCCCATGTGTGACAAGCTGTCAGGAGAGTGACAGGGCAGGACAGTGCCAGGGAATAGGTTTCCCATTTGAATGACTGTTCAGCAGTTCCAAGCTCAACAGCTAAATGGGATACACGTGGTAATAGTAGACTCCAAGATGTATCTTTTGTTCCTCCTGTCCCCACTCCTCAAAAAACGAGGAGAAGAGCTGTTGTATCTCCAGGAATTGACACTAATGAAGCTGACACTCTGCATGTGCACAGCATGCTCTGCACTGCATTTGACCGCTGAGCTTGTGTCCCACCAAAGGAGGTTGTATTGCTCGTGTGTGTCACTAACTTGGCAGTGGAAGGAGAACAGCACGTGTTTCAGTTCCTGCTTACCTGATTACAGAACCTGCTTGACTCTAAATGCTGCAAGTTTCTTGTTCCACCTTGGACTTCCTAAGGTGGAAGAGGAGCTTTAGAAGTCTTTAATGTTCAAAATATTACTAATGCTTTCCTCAGGGCTCTGACAAGAAGGTTAAGGTCATTTGGAAAGTATTCAAGCCCAGAAGCCAATGTTAAGGTTGCATATGCAATCTCATCTCTGTCCTTCGTGCATAGATATTCATTAATGACACAGCCATTGCCTCATCTCAGATTCTTCATTATGTTATTTCTTCTGCAACTTTATATGAGCATCCTGAACATATTTTCATTCTCATGTGCATATGTTCTCTGTAAAACAGTATTATTTTGGATTTTATGTGCTCTCACACAAGCTCTGAATTATCTGCTGGCTGCTTAAAAAATAATCACCCAATCAAAGACAAATCTGTCAAGTCTCAATTTTATCTTTCTGTCCATCTCCAACAAAATGAATTCCTGCTAATTGATTTGTAATGTAATTCTCCCCAAGCTCACTTTGGAGGCCAGGACAAGCTGGGTGCAGCAGCAGGTTTTCATTTTAGTGAGTCAATGCCCTTTCAGACCAGGAGCTGAAGGATGTTTGGAGTTCTGTCCTCACTGTGAACTCCTTGCAAACCTCTTCAGTGCCACTAGTTCATGACAAAGGACTCCATAAATTCACTAAATCAGTCCAGACTACTGGGGATCCATACTCCGGGTTTATTGTTCTCATATGAGTATGGAGCAAGAGAAAAGGCTGCTAACTTCTGATATTTGTCTGAAGAATCAACAATACCTTCTACCCAAGGAATATTTATTTGTGCATATCTAAGCTGTAACCCCTGTAGTAATGCAGGCTCTTCTGAGTCAGCTGCTGAAATTCGTCATTCACCTTTTATCTTGGCTGAAAACACAAGGGGTTATTAGCTTGACAAAATATAATTGCTGACTGCTTGGGACATGGAGGTTGAAACCTCTATTCCTGTTGAGCACCATGTAAAATGTATCAAACAATAAACCAATGGGTTCGTTGTCTTACGTATTTTCTGATTCAGGAAATGCGTTGTAGCATATCCTGACTTGGAGCATTGTTTAAATTCAAAATTAGATTGTGTCTTTTAATTATGAGACTCCTTCCACCAGCCATCCAGTATTCCTGGATGTCTGCTATTGAGCCAAGAGCCATGGCCAGACTTACTGATACCTGGGAAAAACTGACTTGAAGCCTGATGTAGTAAAATTGCAGGGGAAAAGGCAAAAGCCACCTGCCCCATATGGAGTATTCCATAACCCAAGCAGCCTGGAGAAATGCAGTTGGCAAAATAATGGCCCAAAAACCTCAGTCTGCAGTGTTACCTTTAAAACAAACTTTGGGCATTGCTGGGCAGGTGATCTCCTGCAGTATCCGTAACTGATGCCCCTTGTTTTATAGGACAGTGAGCATGGATCAAACCTGAGTAGGAAGATGGACAGTCTGGGCAGCAACCATTCCATCCCCAGCATGTCTGTGAGCACAGGCAGCCAGAGCAGCAGTGTGAGCAGCATGCAGGAGGTCCTGGATGAGAGCAGCCCTGAACTGGTCATGATGCATAGTGACGAGAGCACCATTAATTCCACTTCCTCGGTTGTTCACAAGAAGGTATGTTCCCTGGTGCTCTCCATGGCTTCCTACAGTCCCTGCTGTCGCTCACGTTGGCTCACCCGCCCAACGGTCAGTGTGCTGTGGTCTTGTGCTGAGAGCAGGGCCCAATGGTCAGTGTGCTGTGGTCTTGTGCTGAGCCATCTGCTGAGAGCAGGAGCTGGTGCTGGGCTTGCCAGAGTCAAGTTCTGTGGGGTTTTTGTCTTTAAAAGCATTTCAGTAACCTCTGCCAATAACCAGAGGTTGCTAAGGGAATGTAGCACTGACAGTGTCCAGGCAGGGTCACCCAGACTTGCTGCAGCAGGGCCCAATGGTCAGTGTGCTGTGGTCTTGTGCTGAGCCATCTGCTGAGAGCAGGAGCTGGTGCTGGGCTTGCCAGAGTCAAGTTCTGTGGGGTTTTTGTCTTTAAAAGCATTTCAGTAACCTCTGCCAATAACCAGAGGTTGCTAAGGGAATGTAGCACTGACAGTGTCCAGGCAGGGTCACCCAGACTTGCTGCATGCCTCCTTGCCCAGGCCTGCATGTGCACCTCTTCATCTCTGCTTGGGACATCCATCCTTGTTTCCTTGTGAATGACTGTTCTGTGTTCTGTACTATGGTGACAAGTGGTCATAGCAGCTAAGCTAACCCTTTACCAGTCACAGTGTATGATTAAAATCTGCTTGCACTTGGATTTCCCTCATGAGAAGTGGAAGTGTGCAGAACTTTGGACCCTTCCCACGAGGTATGTTTGGAGTCAAGTTCCACTCAGTGCTTTTCTGCTCTTTTGCTGCATGCTGTGATTTGTTGCCTTTTGTTTTCTTAGTGCTAGATATCAAGCTGAAGTTGTCTAGCTGAAAGTCAGCATCTAATCTCAATTATTTATTTGACTAAAAGAATTTTGGCTTGGCCTTAGCAGTGTCATTTGCTAGTGGGCAGCAAAATGTAGGTTGGTTGTGTGATTGCACTTGCAAAGAACTTCAAAGTGTATGTTTGCTTTTTGCCAGAGGAGCTAAAACATTATGGCAGCATGAAAAGTCTGAATTTCTTATTTGTAAGGTTACAGTAAAGCCTGGTTTTAACTAGCTAAATATTTGTAAGCAGTTTTTCCTCCTGAAGTATAGTGTTAGTGTCATTGAATATTGAGGTGCTTACAAAAGGGAGCTCTAAAGAAATTTTGTCTTCAGCAAAAGATGGTGTTACATAATTAAAGATCCTGGCAGATCAGTTGCATAGGTTTCAGGGGTTTGCCTCTGCCTGAAATGCCTTTGACAGCACTTTTAGAGAAGATTGTTTTCTCAGGAAGGTGAAAATGAAGTGTGAGATACCAAATGCTACCCCAAGGAACTGTCCTCAATGAAGAGCAGCACCACTGATGTATGTTCTGGGTGGTTATAGTTGGAGCTCTTTCTCATTTTGTGTAGGTTCAGAAATACGTATTAACTTTAATTTCACATTGTTAAGTAGTCATTAAAGCAGAAGTTTGAGGGACTGATTTACACAGTCGTCATAGGATATGTTATTGACTGCTCACGGTCATTAGTTGATGAAAACCAAAAATGAGCTGCTCCCATCAGACATCGATGGCATTTGTGAAAGTAGAGTTCCTGCTTGTTGTACGAGTAATGTTTTCCTTTATAGTGGTTGTGTGACACTTTGAAAGTACAAGTACAGGATTTCTGATGCTGTGAATTCAGTCCTCTTAGAGTTCTGCATAGCTGTTGTTCCCTTGAGATTAAGACCTTCAGTTGAGTAGGATGCACAAACATGACACCACATGGAAGTTTTATCTGCTTTGAAAAAACAGGGTGTCTTGCACACTTGTAACTGAAGTATTATAAAAGAAACCACTTGTAGATCGCTTAACACAGGCGTTTGGGGTAATTTTGGAAGCACAAAGCCCAGGTCTGCACTGACAGTTAACACTTGGCTGTGATTGCTGATTCTTGCAGTGCAGTAGATTCCTTCTCCATTAGCAAATGCTCCCTTCTGTTGTATGTGTTCACAAGGCAGACTTAGACTGTCTGTAGCAGGACATATTCTAGTCTGCAAATATATTGTCTTATTTTAATACATGCTTTTTTTATTCTCTGTTACTTTGGGAAATGCAACTTTAAATGGAAAACTGCTTTATGTGTATATTATGTATATATTGATACACATGAAGAGACTAAAATTGGAGCAGGACACTTCAGGGGGTTTATATACACATACATCCCACTCTGCTTTCAAGGTAAAGTTCCTTATTCTGCCAAGATTTCAGTTTGTGCTTTATCTGTGTTTCTGAGAACTGTGATGAAACTGATCCACACACTTGGATCTAGCAGGTGAGCAGCAGTGAGCACTGAGTTGAGTAGTTCTCAGGAGCCCATCACAAATGAAATAGAAAAAACCTGGGGTTCAAGTTTAAGGTTTTGTTTTGCATTTAATCAGCCTTGAGAGGCTAAAAGGAAAATAGTGAAGAACATACTCAGGCAGCTGTCACCACTGTGTGGGCACAGGGTCACATACGAGATGGTATTGACATGGGGCAAATCACAAGTGTTGTGTAAAATTATGATATTCCACAAATGTGTTAATTAACAACCTCCAGATGTACCAGACTGTGTAAAAGGACCAAGATGGCAAAATGGTCTGGACTGTTGATATTTTCTAAGGCTCAAAGCTCTGTGTCAGAAGCCTTTTGGTTTTTTGGACCACAGCCCCAGAATGGCATGTGCAACTGCACTGTAGGATGAGAGTCTGTGGGCCTGTGACATACTGTTTCCAGCCTTCAGTGTTTCAGGCTGTTGCTTCGTGTGAAGAGCCAGTCTTGGAGTGGCCTTGACCTGGTGTAAATCAGGAGCAGAGCCTAGGTTCTTGCTGCATGGGCTGGGAGAAGCTTTGGGCATCCCCACTGAGCACTCCTGACATCTGTACTGTGACCAGCTACCCTGAGGCAGAGGCAAAGCGTAAGGAAGAGGCTGATCTAGTAAAAGCATTTGTAAACAACTTATTTTCTTTCTTTTTTTTAACAGCTGCTAGTTGGCTGTAACTTCCAAAAATGTTTTGTGGTCACAGGGTAAGTGAAATGACCTGTTCTGATCTGGTTAATTTTCACTGGCTATACTAGTTCATGATAGCCAAGGTGCTTGGGTTTTGCCTGATGGAGAACAACATTTGGGATAAATCCTCTATGAAAAACAGGCACAGCCTCACCCCTTCCACAGCACAAAAGCTTTGGGGCAGCAGTAGAGCTCCATGTTTTTAAACCTGTGCTTAGAGCAAAGGTGGCTCCCACCTGTCAGCAGAGTGTACCTCTGGTAGGCTGGAAGAAAAGTCACTGGGCAGGAAAAAAAGAATAATAGGCCATAATTGAATGTGTAGCTTTTAATGTCATTTAGTGTATAACCGTGTCCTATACTCCTGGGAGGAAAAAAAGTGGCAATAATATCTGCTACTCAGGCAGGAAGCCTGTATGCTCCCTTCCTGGGATCTCAGTCCATCCCTGGGATCAAAGCCTGCTTCCTCAGGAGGATGGAGTTAATCTCTTTTTTTTTTTTTCTTCTCAGTAGCTAGTGTAGTGCGGGTTTTGGGTTCAGAATGAGAATACTGTTGATACCATACTGATGTTTTGGTTCTTGGCTGCTGGCTGGGGTTAACCACAGCACTTAGTCATCAGCACATTCTTCACAAGAAACTCAGATGTTCAGCTTGGATGAGCTGTCCCACTAAGAAACTTTCCTTGCTGGTGTCAGACTGGTGACCTTCTCCTCCATGCACATCTCAATGTGTTCAGTGTACGAGTCCTGGTGCTGTAATGTCTCTGTCCTGAAGACAGTTAAATAACTGTGCTTCTCCATCCAAGGATCATGTTGCCTATGGATACACATTCTCATGTCTATCTCCTGTTGGGAGCTTGTTCAGCTGTACAGGTTGAGAGCTGGAGAGTAAGTGACAGCTCTTACATAAACCCAGTTGTACCTGAGAGCCCCCAAAAAGCCAGAATGGGGCAGAGGTTAAACTCCAAATACACTGTACTTCAAAGGCATGAAACACAGATTTTAGAAGCAGATTAAAATCAGTTATTTCATCTTAGATATGGATTTTGCCTCCCTAAGAGTATAAGAATCAGTCAATGCATCAGAGGTGGTTTGTCACCTGCTTTGTTCACTGCTGGTATGGTGTGGGCACGGGTGCCTTCCCAGAAATAGTACTTTGTTGTCCTCCATTAATTGCTTATTTTATTTTCACAAAACTCTAGCGGTAAAATGTTGTACTCTGTGAATGTAAACAAGAAGCCAGTACAGTATTGTTTTGTTCAGTTGAAGTACAGAGTTGTTACTGTTTCTTACTTCAAGCTTAAAATCATCATCACTTACATGGATGAAATTTGGACAATAAAAATGTCAGGGAAATCCTGTGATTAAAATCTAGTTTATAACAGAAAGATGAAAGGAGGTTGTTCATGGCTGATCATCACAGATTCTTGCCCAATGTCTGTAATAAAAAGGGACCTCTGCAATAACTGCTGCAACTTGAGTGACTTCCCAAATCCATTAAATTAACCTGTTCACATTGCCTGTTGCTGCCATAATTAATGTGCAGCGTTCGTGGAGAATTTTGTGCATGGAGAGTGCTCTGGTGTGGCTGCTCTACAGGAGCTACAGCTGAGGCAAAGCTGAGGGTGTTTTCCTACATATCAAGATTTATGATTCACACTTGGAAAAGAAGTTTTTTTTACGAGATGTAAAGGATCTTTAGGTAATGACTTAGTTTTGGCCTGGATGTGCCAGCAGTGATGACCCCTCACTACCTTCTGGAATCATGTCAAGCAGGTTGGGGACTCAAAGCCTTGTCTTTAAAGACTTCGATACTTTAACCTCTCTGTAGATTATCGAGGCATTTTGTGCAATATATTAAGATGAACGATGGCACACTGTTGTTTTCCTTGCTCTTTAAATTCCTAGAAGGCAGGGATTTGCTGCAATTCCATTAAAGTCCTTACTAGGGCTCGGAAATTGCCTTTCCTGTTTGTCTAGGAGACTGGCAGCCCTTCCAGTTAGTGAATCCTCTTGTGTAAACAGAGTTTGTGAAGGGTTGTATTTGGTGTGCATAACAAAAACCACAGGGTGCAAGTGAGTGTTCCTTCTGAGGTGAAAGTGTAAGTGTTCCAGCTTTGGGCCAGTCCAGTGTGGTCAGAGTTTGGGTGGTAAAGCCTATTTTTTTAGTGAGTGAGGAGGAGGATGAAAAGAGAGTGTGTGGTAGAACTGGGACGGGACTCTAGGGAGCAAACTCCAGGTGCTTACTCTAGGGTGACCTTGGGCAAGACTTATAGTGTGAGCAGAAACTCATGTGCATTGTAAGATGCTCAGACTACACCAGGAATAACCATTTAGGTCTCCAGCTGGGACCACCACTTAAGTCACTGAAAGCTCCACCAGCTCTGGTCAGAGGATACTGTAAAAATATTTGAGAGGTTTTGTCCTGGCAAATATGATCAGCAGTGTCAAAGCCAGCACCCAGCCAAATAGCCCCATTTGTTGTGATCAACCTGGAAACAATTTATGTGGATAATGCAGTCAGAATAGCAAATTATTTCTGCAGTAGGAAGTTGAAGGTTCTAGATTGTTGGCCCTGGATAGAAGGGTTTTAATGATTTCATGTGAGTTGTGGTCTGAGCATGCCTGAAGTTGTGTTCATAAGGCAAATATTGCAGTGAAAACAGATGGAAAGTGAAATGTGCACAGAAGATGCATTACTTTAAAAACAAACCAGTGTTTGAACTGCAGATTTGGGGCTGAGAGATACCCTGACCCAAACTTGATGAGTTTCTGGGGTGCTTTCATTCAGATTTCACTCAGTACATTCAGCTGAGCTGCCAGTTTTGGGTCTTTGTTTCCCACATATCTGGAACTAAAAGTTGGAAACAAACCTTCCTGATCTGTGCCAACACCTGAAAGGAGATATGACTGCAGTATCTCATAGCAAGCTTTTGGGAGAAGAGAATACAGTAAAAGTAGGAAAAAAATATCTATTTTCTATGTTTGTAGGTAGTTATTTGTCTTAGCCATGAGTCACATCTGAGGAAGGCTGCTGGAGATATGTCTCTTAGGTTTATTTCCCTTACTAGCAGACTCTGTGGCAGTGTAACCTGCTAGATTTGGTAGCTCTCCATGCCAAGTGTTTTTATTTCTGGTAGTGTGACAGCTTTTTCAGAAAAATGTGTTGCCTATTAAGGTTCCCTTGGGCTTAGCTGAGAGTTAGTAGTGGATGCCTGCCTGATGCAGAAGCCTCAGATCCCAGATTAAGGGGTGCCAAGGACAACCACTGAGGTTTTTGTCACCTTGAAATCGGTCCTTTGGCTTGCTCAGTTGCAAAGGAATTTTCCCATTCCTTGCCCAGCTCAGTTTGAAATGGAGAATGCAGTTAATTCACATTCCTGAAGGGCAATTAGCTTCTGCTGTGAGCTTCTTATATGCACTGGAGTAACCAGGAGTCCCATAAAACAAGGCCAGGTTGACAATTACAACTTCAACTTGTCATTTTAGGGGGTGTTTTGGAGCATTATGAAAAAACTGAATGCCCATTTTAAGTTTTTGAGGGTTTTTTTACAGTGATTTGCTGCTTCCCTGGTTTTAATATTTCAAGTTCACCTTGGCATGCTAATGCAATGGAGAGAGGGAAGATGGTCCAGGGATTGGGATATTGCTAGCAGACCTTGAGGAACCCTGTCCATTCACAGGTGCTGTTGCAGGCTGTGTATGACCATGGGTGATATTTGTCCTGTCAAGAGCTTTATTTCATAGCTATACTAAAGGACTAGTAGCTCCGGTGTACTGTTGTTTCCTACGTAGTTCAGATGGGGAAGTCTTGTACAGCTTTTTACCAGAGGACTTTTTTATTCAGCTTTGTTTTGTAGTTGAGGTGTTCCAGTTTCAGCCTGTAAAAAAGTTTCCTTTGGCAGTTCATAGAATCATGGAATGGTTTGGGTTAGAAGGACTTTTAAAGCTCATGTTGTTCCAACCCCATGCCATGGGCAAGGACACCTTCCACTAGACTCTGTTGCTCAGAGCTCCATCCAACCTGGCCTTGGACACTTCCAGGGATGGGGCAGCCAAAGCTTCTCTGGGCAACCTGTGCCACTGACGACTCCCCTCCCCTTACTCCAGCTTCTTCCATACCAGTGCATCACCTGAGGCTGTGTTTGCCTCAGCCCCAAATTATATCATATCATAGAATTGCCAGGTTTGTCTCTGCAGAGCTGGTTGGAGAGTGAGAGGCCAAGCTCACATTGCTCTAGTGCTGCCCCTTGCCTGGCTGGGAAAGATTGTGCCAGAGGGATCCAGAACACATCAGTAGAAAGATGATGCTATTCAGCCCCTTCTATTTAGGGTTATCTGAGGTGTCCCTGATTGCATTGCAGATTCCTCCTTATACCTGCTATTGCCTATTGAGGTGGGAGTGCTGCAAGGCTATAGGAAATTTGGGATTGATATGCTTCCAGTGAAGCCACAGGTCCACTTAAACTGAGTGACACTGTTAGACTTTAAATGTTTAATCAAGATGTTTTTGGGATGACTGTTCTAAAGTCTAATATGTGCCTTTCTCAGGCAAGTGTGCAAGTCTGGAAGCCCTGCCTGGCACACCATGTTTGAGCTGGAAATGTGAGACTTCCACTTGTCCTTCTGTCACATTGCCTCCCTGTCAGACAGGGCCACAGTTGTCCTGTATAAGGATGACCAAAGTAAAATGAAACTGCAACTTTTAATTAGACTTCATGTTCCTACTATTTCTCTGGAAGATTGTCCTTTTTAACTGTTTTGTCTCATTCTGTGTTCCCTGAGTGGGTATGGAAGAGCTGGTGCTTGGCTCTGTGCTGGCCTTGGCCATTGTATTCCTTGTGTAGAGGCAAGGGAAATGTGAGCATGGAGCAGGAATTCTCAAAATGAAGGATATGAGGAAAGGGTTTGGGTTTAAAACACTAAATGAACATGTTGTTCAGCTCTTGATATCAGCATTTCTGTACCTCTTTGGCTTTTGCCTGAAATCATTTCCAGAATCCGATTGAAAGGGGCTGCATGTGTCTGGGTCCAGGCTAGAAGCAGCTAGAAATCGAAGCCAGCAGAGAGGGAAACAGGTGTCTGTGGAGTGGGAAAGGAGCATGGGGATGACAACAGTGTCATGGTGGAGATGCTGCTCCTTGTTGGCGGGTTTCTCACCACAGGTCTCTCTGACCTTACTGGTGTCTGCTGGGGCATGGCAGGGTGTCAGGGCTGCTCCTGCTCACCTGCAGACACCTGGTGCACGGGGGCAGCTGTTCCCTACAAGGGCTGGTGTCCTTAGAGGCACTGTCATCATGTATTTTGTGCCCCTGACAGGTGGAAACTTGATTTAATCAGGAAGAATTTCAGTTTGCCTTTGAGATTTTAGGAGTTGGATCTTGAGATTAGGTGTCATCACAGTGGTGGGTGGCAGTGTGGCAGGTGTGCCATTATCACTGGTGCCCTGTGGAGCCAGTGCCACCAGGCAGGTGTGGTGGGGAGAGTGGGACATGCCTGGTGTCCAACAGCTGCTCCATCCCAAAGGTGTAGCCTGCAGGTGTGCTGAGTTTTGGCAGTCACCATTCCAGTTAGGAACATGGTGGTGGTTCTCGCTGGCCTTTCTGGTCAGGGTTTCTCCTCTCTACCCTCGCCAAGAGCTGCGTTCCATTGCGAAATTTGCCCGCGCCGTGTCGGAGAGGCACAGCCACTCCCGGCAAAGCCTTTGCAGGGAGCAGGAGAGACTTCACTGGGAAACAACAGGCCTGTTAGTCTCAATTCTGTACCTCGTAAAAAAAATCCTTTGTGGGCTGTGGAGAGAAAGTGCTAGAACTGTGCAGGATCATGACTGGAAAGCAGGATCCCTGAGTGGTCACGGAGGCTTTCCTGGTCCTCTCCAGCCTGCCGTGGATTTAGCCAGGATGCTCGTCCCCCACAGCAGATAGCAAACAAGGGACAAAGAAACCCTATCGAGGACAGACCGCTCGGCAAAGGGAATGAGGCAGGATGTTGCTCTTGTGTTAAAAGGGAACAGCATCTCCGTGGCTAGACATGGAAATCACGTTTTCACCAGGATCGCTGGGTTGCAGTGCTTGAACCCGACCTTCCCGAGGACTCCGATCGCTCTGCACCGCTCGATGCTTCCCAGTCTCTGTTTTTTTCGCACATATGTAATACTGGAGGGTTAAAAAAAAAAAAAGGGGGAAAAAAAAAAAGGCAAGCTCCATCCAGGGATTCGGAGGCATCCTGCGAGCGATCAGCTGACGCGCCGAGCCGAGCTGCAATGTGTTGCTTATTCATTTTGTACGGTGGGAGCTGCCGGGGCTAGCAGAGAGCTGAACTATGCCTCTCCTACAGCCGCGCTTGTGCAGACAGAGGGGTGAGAGAGAG